CCCCTGGGACATGCACGGGGGCAGCGAACTGCGGTGACTGAGGAGCACCCACACAGGGCAAGGGACGGGCCTGTGCGCTCTGTTTGGTCCTGGCTCTTCTCCTGAAGCTGAAATTGTACCTGCAATCTGCATCTGCAAAACACACCTCACTGACAGCTAGAAAAATGCCTCAAAATGTTGATTAAATTCAGCGTTTGCTGGTATTTCATACCTCTCCCGTGTCTTTCTGGCCATTGTGATTTACATCTTTTATATTTTGATTCATGAAAAGCCATTTTGAAGAACAGAAACAGCTGGCTTTTAGAAACCCTCATGATTTGAAACCTACATCTATTGAAGGTAATTGGGGAAGTGGAGACATACTGCTGGAAATACCTTGATAGCTGGTCTACAACAGGCTGTTAGAAGGTAATGGCCTTAATGTGAGAGGAAATACATTTTATTTAAAAAAAAATAAAAATCCTTCAGCTCCATGTGACTGTCATCATAGCTGTTCGATTCAGGCGAGATGGGCACAAGGTGATTTCACTGATATGAAGGTATGAAGAGAACTATTGACAGGAGACTCCACCTCCCTGTTGTACCAGCAGGCTGATGCTCAAGGGGAAGAGAGCAGCAGTAACCTTGCTAGAAGTAGCATGAGGTCAGTAAGGTTGGTAAGACCTCAACATGCCAACAAAACACAGAAATCTTTTTTATTACATTGTAAATTACAGACCTCATTTTGTCCTTGAGCAACTTCTGGTGACAAGGGAAGCACTTTTTAGAAGTTTGTTGAATGTGTAGGTAGGCAGCTGGTAAAACTTAGTTGTTTTTATTTTTAAAAATAGCGTTTTAGGAGATGCCTGGTAGGAGTTTGAGTAGCGCTTGTCCGCATTAGGCACCAGCATTGTAACTGCAGGTGGGACATGAGCAGTGAGGAGAGGAAGCTGCAGAGCTGTTACGTGCCCTCAGCCGCGGGATGTCAAGAGCCATTTTTCTGTTGCAGAGCGAAACCTAAACCCTAAAGCAGCCTGCCTTAAGAGAAGGGAAGAAGAAAAAGTTTCTGCCGTATCGGCAGAGCCGCCAACACCACACCCAGGAAGCCACCCTGGCCTGAGTGAAACTACCAACCCTATGGGTCATATGTGAACACCAGCCAGGTACGTCTCGGGGGGCTTCTCAGGGGCTCGGACTTGAGGGATCGAGATACGTTTGTTCTCAGTTACTGGGCTGCCACGAGCACCAAACGTCTTTATGCTGCTGAGTACTTCTGCATCTCTGAGCACAAGTGAAAGCATGTGGATTTGTTTAGTTCTAGAATAAAACAAAACCTCAAGAAATTGTCATTAAAGCCTCTTCATTTCCATGTGTTGTTGCCAATGGCTGCATCTCTTGGCTCAGGTGGCCTTCTTGGCATGACATCAGAGGGATAGTTAACAGCTTGCTAGATAAGCCAAGCATAATAAGAGATGAGTTACACATCTTTAAACGGTATAAATATCACATTAGTTCATTTAAAAATCCATGTATTGTTTCCTAGCACTGGTACCAACAGCTAAGAGAGCCCTCTCATCTCAAAGAGGTTTGCCATCTGGCTCACGGCCAGTCACTCTGACCCCTGTCACTTGCCCCAGAGATCCCCAACTATGGGAGCTCCCCAGCGGTGTTAGTGAAGATAGCTGAGATTTAAAAAGTAAAGCTTTCAGCTTTGCAAGATGGGTCAGCGTTTCCAAAAGCCCCGTGCAGTCCAATATACGATACTTCATTTAAAACATGCTGATGGGGATATTTGTTCTTTGGGTTTATTACGTGTTGTTTAATTGGTTGGATTTTTAAAATAATTGGGAAAAATGTGATTTTGAGAAGAAAAAATTCTGGGTATTTTATGTCTTTTATGACAGTAGAATTGTTGCCACTTTCAAAAAGGGTAAGAGACTGAGTTCAATGCCCTTATTTTAATCTGTAACTTTACCAAATTTAGTGGTTTGGGAGGTCTGTTGTTGTGTCCACAGGATGGTTTGCTTCTACTTCAGCTGCAGACAGAGGCATGCATTCTGCCAGAATGAATCCCATGGGAGTTTGGCATTCCCTGGTGTTCCTTAGAAAGCAGCCAAATGGCATTTAAACCAGGCCGGATTCGAGTCAGTCCTCCTTCCCCATCCCCTACAGGCAGCTTCTTTCTTCATAAGTGAAATGGGGTTTCTTTTTAGGAAAGCAAGGTGCTTTGAATTGATTTATTTCAGACCAGAGCAACAGGCTACTAATATATCCTCAGGTGATTCTTGATTTACAGCTGAATTTATAGTCTGCTCTTATCACACTAATTCAGTGGGCCACTGTCAGAAGTTTACTATATCCTTGCTTTTTTAGTAGCAATAACTTGGTAAGATGCTGGCACGAAGAGGCCGCACAGGCCCATCTGTCATGTTCAGCGTGGGTGTCTCTGGGAGGAAGGATCTCAAGGCCGCTCAATGTGATTTTCTGTTGTACTGAGCTGAGTGAAAATGCCATAAGATACTGTTTAAATAATTTCTCTTGCACTGCTATTATGTTGCTTGTTAATTCTTTTCCTAATGCTCCTTTCTTCTCCCAAATGTCTAGAATTCCAGAATTATTGGTAGGATACACAGAAGGTGACCTTTCTTCACAAGGACACAGACAACTAACATTATATGAAGACACAAACCTGACAGGAGAAAACACTTGAAGCAAGAAACCCAAATGCAATCTTATGATCAAAGCTACTGGTCAACACCTGCATCAGGATCGAAGACGCCAGATCTTCAGACAGAATTTCAGCCCAGAATTTCATACTCTGAACATATCATTCTGTTGCAAGCAGTGTGTCGCTTCTGCACAATCAGAGACTGTTGTGATCTCTCCACTCATTGTGGAAGTTGCCTTGTGCCTAAACTGAATTGACAAATGCATTGTAACTACAAATTTTATTTATTGTTATGGAACTGTAAAGGTCTACATATAAAGGGAAAAGTTAACATGTTAAAAGCTGATGAAATTTCAGCTGGATGCCAGCATTTACTAAAGCTGTTCACATTCAGAGAACAAAGCAGTGACAACCGTCGACCCGTAGCATTCCCAGCATACCTATTAGTGTCTTAAAAAAGGAAGGGAAAAGTCTTTTGTTGTCCTTTCCTCTCCTTTTGCCATATGACTAGTGTTTTCCATGCAATAGGAAACTATTCCTTGGTATAGCTTTTTTTTTTTTATGTTATTTTTGGTCTCTGGTAATCTGAACAGTTATGGTCGTAGTTGCCCTTCCCTGCTGAGCTCCCTGCTGCGAGCCAGCAAGAGGCCTCCTGACGGCTGCGGCAGGAGCCGTGCTGTGACCATAACATTTCTTGGATTTAAAAAGTGATTTTTGTTTTCCCTCAGACTTTCCTCAAACTTTTTTTTTTTTTTTCTAATTATAAACAAAACCTTTTTAGGCTTCTAGGCTTCATAGTAAAGCTTGTAACGTGAAGTGTAAATTGGGTGGGGAGAATCTACTTTGTTAGAGTTGCTTTGTTTTCCGAGCAGTAAGTACTACATATAGTACATGTAAAGTGTTAGCTGTACGTAAGCACAAAATGCATTAAAATACAAAGGAGATTTTTTTCAGGCTGTAATTTTGGTGAATAGTAAAATCCGAAATTCACCGTGGCAGGTAGTGTGATGCTATAACCACCAGTAAGGTGGGCTTACTTACCTAATGGAATCTAAGAGCAATGGTCACCAGTTTTTCCTTACTGTACACATTAATTATCGTGTCTTTTTTGTATGGCTTCTCAGCGGAGAAAACCCAATAGTGTGAATCAAATGCAAACAAACGCCCCCTCCCAAGCCATAGTAGCATTAAACCTTTAAATGTGTCTCCACCGGAACAGTGTCCATCCGTATCCCTTTGTCACAGACGTGCTGAAATGGTTAAAATCCCTTTGGACTCCCATGGAAACTGTCTTCCACTGCAATGACCATGGGAGGAGGTTCCCCAGCCCAGGTTGTCAGCGATTGTTTCTGCCGCATCTCTCATCACTGGCAATTGGTTCACACGCTAAACAGGAACAAACCAGTAATTTTTATGAAGTCATTTAATTTGAAAGAACAAAAGATGGATTGTTAAAATAAACTAATGAATTTAAGCTCATGTTTTGGATGGTTCCTCACAAACCAGTTTGTGGAATTAGTGGACTCATTTCTATTACTTTAATTTGCATATATCATCCAGTAACACCTGATTATATCTGTGGCCTTGTTCTTCATTTCAGTGTTTATCAGCTAAACAAATTTGTTGCTTATGACGTGTGAAAGTGATCACGTGCCACTGCCTGGCCTTTTTCCTTCTAAGCTTGTTGTCTTTTTGGCTATATTAGACTTTGCAGTATGCCCAGAAGCTTTCCTTCATAAAATAGAAAGAAAAAAACATTTGGCTTATTTTTCACTGTAGCTAGTCTTTTATACAATAATCTTGTAAGAAAATTTCTTGAATTCTAAATATTACTCTTTCTAGATTTTTGAAATCGAAAAAGTTTTCAGTAAAAAGTTTCTTACTTTATTTTACTATATTAGGTAGTAAAAATGTAGGGTTATTTACCATAACCTGTTCATTAATATCAGAAATTTACAATAGCATTGTAAGACCATAGTAGGGTTCTAGCATACCGTGTAGTACCTATGGAGTATTGTAAGAGCTAATTGTCCGAGATGAATTGCTTCTCATCTTGTTCTCCAGTTTCCATTGTTGGTTTATTGCAGATTTGTACCCTGTGTCAAATTTCAAGGTATTGCTGATAAACCTTTCCAACCAGCAGCAAGAAGTTCAAAAAAATTTCTGTCAATGTAACAGAAAACACTATGTATATAACATTTATGTAGCAATAAATGTGCCATCTTTTTTTAACATGGTAAATCAGTGAGTTTTTTAAATTTCTCTCTCCTCATAGGCAAAGCAGTGCTTGAGAAATACCGGCAAAACCAGCCTCTGCCTTTACCTGAAAACAAAAGTGGACGCGGGCTCCGGGGGCAGGGCCAGGGCCGTGCTGCTCCTGGGGAGGCACCGCGGACATTCCTGGGAGCTGAGGGGCCCGAGAGGGATCACAGGGACACCCGGGAGCGGGAGCCCCTTTATGTGCATTGACGCTCGGTGCCGAGTTACTGCTGAATTTGATCGATGCATCTCCGGAGGTTTTATCAAAAAAAGAGGGGAGGGAAAAAGGCCATAGCTTAAGCTTGAAATTAAAATTTTCACATTTTCTACACCTTTCTGCAAGCGCAAGCAAAAGAAACTGTAAGTCCCCAATGTCCAAGGCGTACGCAGACGGTGGTGAAACCTTCATGCAATTCCTAGTCCATAGCTGTTTAAGGCAAAAACCTCAAGTAATGAGCAAACTTTGTAGAAGCTTGAGTTTTTCCAACTGTTCTCTAAATAAATATCCCAGGGAAAAGCACATCAAAGGCAACAGCAAATAGAGATACCAAGTATATGAAGCTGGGCTGTTCACCTGAGTGCGGTGTGTGTCAGTATGGCTGCTGTGTACCCAATACTGCCCTTTGTCACCTTAGAAAGTAGTTATTGTGGTGAGATGTAATTGTGTGTATGTGTGTGTGTGTGTGTGTTAAGAGATGCACACTGGGGTAGTTTCATTAAATACAATTCTGCCAGAATGAGCATTTGGACTATTGTAGGAGAGCTTTCCTGTAAATCTAAAGCATTGGGAAAGGCTTTAAAAGGGGCTCAATTTTTACTTTTTTTTCCCCTCTGGCAGGGAGTAGATGCTATTAAAAAGAGGATTATTTATCAAAGAGTTAACATTTCCTGAAGAATTAATCAACATTAACATTTTCCCCACTTGCATCTGGAAATCGTGGCAGACCCAAAATAAAATGCAACAGTCTGTAAAAGGCAACCTTGGTACTGGATGGTAGACTCTGATTTTTTTGTTTGTGACACCATGACCTTGTGCTTTCTAGTATACCTCACCTGGGGATCCCAAAATGTCCTGTAAAAGGAAGAAATAGTTTGTCCCGATTTTAAAGCCTTCTCTGCCTCCCCGCAGACAAGATGTGGCCAAAGCTGAAAGCCACCAGGCGGCTGCCCCAGGGAGGGGGGTCTACAGTCCATCGCAGCTGGGGGAGGGCCAAACCTTGCTCCTGCCCTCTGCAGCCAGCAAAACATTCCCACAAAGTGGGAAAACGGCGCTAATAGGTGAGGGCTACAAACCTTCTCTTGCCTTGAGGTCTCCGCTGTCAAAGAGCAGAGGAGCCGGTGCCATTTGCGGGGGCCGTTTCAGACTGTTTAAACATTGTTTGTTTTCCTGAAGTTAATCCCACCGACAACCTGGATGTCACTGCAAAATCCTGTGGGTTTACTCTCTGGTTAAGAGAGGACTATAGCGTTCAGCTGCTGTCACCAGCCACAGCCTGTGTGCCTCGGGTGGGACTGCGGGGAGGGTGGCTGTTCGACTGCAGTCACCTGGGGTTGTTTGTGTTGGCCACAAATTGCACTGACCAGGCTCTAGGGCCTGGAACTGCACATCGGCTGGGCTGTTAACAGAATCCCTTTCAATGCTCTCCTAATCCTGACTTTTCCAAATGTTTTGATGCAATTAACAACATCTGCGAAATAAAAACTGATTAAAAAAAAATTATCAAGTCTTAGAAAAAAAAAAAACAAATACTAATACAAATGAGATAAAAATCTCTCTCAAAATATTGGTTGTAATTGAACCTGGAGGGCAGCCCTGTTAGAAAGGTAGTGTCTGAGCTGTATTTTTGAAATTCTGGTTATTTCAGGTGAACTAGAGAAACGACGATACCAAGGCTCGCTCATTTTCAGGAGAGATCCACTGTATTTTTAACAGTATCACCTAAATGTATAGAGACAAAAGGAATCAAATATCAACTATATCAGTCAGAACAGTAACTGCTGCCAAATGCGATTGAAGAGATGAGAAAATAATTTACAAGATAACTCAAAATTTGGTCTATGTTAGATGTAGACCCCTGCAAATCCTGGACTTCAGAAAAGTATGAGAAACCCATGCAGATCCTGAAGCTGGAGCTGTCTCTTTCCATCAAAGCTCTGAATAACACAGCAACTTACATTTGTTTTGGAAAAACTCAACAATTCAGCTCTTTGAATATTTCCTCCTGGATTTTTTTTTTAAAGTAAATGGATGTGACATTAAACTCCTGTACAAAACGAACGCAACTGTGTCTTGCTACCTTGGTAACGTGGATTTTTGGCCCTACTTTCTTATTTTTGTGCTGAGGATTTTTCTGTCCCCCATCACTGTATTTTAATGGCAAAGGAAGACTCTTGGAAATGCCAGAACAGACTGATTTACTGGTTTGCTAGATTACTTATTTATATACAAGTAAATTAAGTGGTTCCTTATGCTCGTGGAAGTTCTGACACACCATGTTTCATTAAATGCACATCCTCTCTATCCAAGATGCAAAAAGGAAAAAGAAATACTTGTGGTGGAATTGCAGAAGTCAAGTCTTTTATATTCAAACACAACTAAAGAAATTTGATAAACAATCAAATGTGTAGCAATCATTATATAAATAAATTCTCCAAACATGAGGTTATAAACTCACCTGTAGAGTGAGTTCCTGAGGAGCAGGGTATCGCTCACCATTTTCCCCCCAGCACCCAGAAATGGGCAGATGTAACCAAAGCATTAACTCACCACAGCAGCAGAATTCATCACTAGCCCTAGTTTGTGTGTTTGATGGATGGACGCCAAACAGCCAATTGTTTGCTGCACAACCACCTTAGGTGCTCCAGACTACTCCAAACTGATTTTCTCTGACCGTAGAAATAACTGCTTTCAAAATCAGATGAGTTCTTCAGGGCATTTGTGGGCTTGATATTTACTGTATCAGCCTCATTCACTCAGACTAGAACCTTGATGTGCTAGAACGAAAAGTCCCCATTTCAAAACGCTGAAAACTCAGTCTAAAGGAGAGACATCTCCTAAATATAAACATTCGATGACGAGGTAGGGGAAATTTTTAGATCATGTTTTGATTTATCATCAGAATGGTTGGTTCACCTGCAAAAGCTGAAGAGGGCAGCAATATTGTCTTTTAAAGGTCACAAAGAAAGGAAGTAAGTCTTGCAGCTACACTTCTTTGGACAGTACCGAGCAGAGAGCTCACATCTTCACTGATCCTCTCTATCCCGCAAAGACATAAATGCTAATGCATCTGATTATGAATATAACAGCTAAAGTACATTAATCCCTAACACTACCTGACTAATAAAGATAAAATGCATGCAATATCAGTTCTAAGCTGATGGGCTCTGCTTCCAGTTTACCCTTTTAAAAGGCTAACATTTAATTAAATGTCCATTTAATTTGTTTACATGACTAATTAATAGCTGAAAGTGTAATTAAACATAAAGCTTTTTAAATGCTCGTTCCTTTCCTAGCATCAAGAATAGTAAGTGTGAGCATCATAATATGCAAGTAAAACAAGAGGGCAAGATTGCTACAAATGATAAAAAAAAAAGGGACAGCCTACAGAATGTGAAGGTAGTAACCCGACATAAATCAGTGCCTGTCATTAACTGTAGCCTGCTGGTCATCATTATCCTGCTAGACACAAGTATAACAAGTGTGTCAATAAGGCACTCATTATAAAGCTTTTTGAATATAAATACAGATTCTGCTTTTACAGGAGTATCAGGGAAAAGAGTGTGAATGAAACCAAACCCAATACGTGTCTGTTAAACTTTGCTATTCTGGTGTGACTGTTTTGCATATCCAGGATAACTGATGAAAAACAACCACACACTGGTTAATTCTGCTGTTTCTGTAAGTGTTGACTTTTCAACTGAAGGGCAATGTAAATCCAGCTGTCCGTACGTGCTTCTACAGATCTTCCTGGACCTCCTTCCTCCCTCCTCCCTGCACTGCCCACCCCCAGTTTCTGTTGTATGAGATACGGTCTCCGAGTTGCATCGGTTATAAGCAAGCTTAAAATGTTTAATTTCCAGGTACGTGCCTCTGCTAAGTCACTAATGGAATGATGAGTGTGGTGCAGGTTTACTGCTCCAGCGTGAGGAGCAATGCTGAGATTCAACAATGCCAGGTTCTGGCATCCACAAACAAGTGTCAGAGAAATCTCTGCCTCCCTTACCTGTGCCACTTCTTGCCTGGCCCTTGCCCATCTGTGAGGATTTGACGCTTCAGACTTTCAGCTCCAGGTTTGGTCCTTCCCTTCCAGCCCGGTGTGTGCCGACTTCTATTCCTTCCAGGCCCAGTGTTGGGCTCTCTTGTTTAGGTAAAGCAGCAGCTGAGTCTTCCTCAGCACGCAGAAGAGAGCTGAGGGGGCAGGAGAACAGAGAGAGCAAGTTGTCCTCCTCCATTCCAGCATGTGGCATCACAGTCACCTGGAGCCTGTTATCATTCTAATTTGTGAAGGGTAAATTTATGGGCAGTAAAATTCCTCAATAATAGTAACAACAAAGGAATATGCACAAACCAGCAGTTCTTCTTAATCAAAGTATTGGAAAGGGTGGATTTTTTTACTGAAAATCTTGGAAGATTTTAGTCCAAATTTTCAGGATGCAAAATTTGTTCTCATGGTTAAAATCTGTAAAGTAATGGGTGCTAAAAACAGGAGATGAAATTGGAAAGTAGCAGGCAACCTTACCCACGGGAATGTAACCATCTCTAATTGCACAAACAAGGCTGCCCTGCCAAAACCCAAATGAAACGGTGTGGGGTGTCTGGGTTGTTCCTCTGTTGAACTGTGCAAGTGCATGACCTGCTCTGTGACAGCTGTCCTCTCCCTCTTTCCTGCTCATGCTCACACTCAGTGAGCTTCATCTACCTTGTCATAAATCAGTTCCTAAACGCTTTGAGGTATCTGCTTCCTTCCTTTTCCCAAAAACTGTTTTAAAGCAAAAGATTGACAATAATCTGTTCATTGAAAAAAAAACCCATAATTTAGCCCACATTTGTTTTAAATTTATTTCGTATTATTTTGTAATATTTTAAGCTCCATATGGAATGAGAGGGACATCTGAAGGCATTTTCATCTTAGATCTGAATTGCTGCATTATAACCATATAATTCTTCTCTTCTACACATTTGCTAGAGTAATTTTTATCCCGCTCTAGTCTACCAAAATTCCCTCTGCCCAAGGGCCCTTGATCCCATAGAGACATATGCAGAGTTTATGCATGGGATAGCCCTTCTCATTTCAGTGGGCACACTTCAAGTACTGAGTTCCTATTATTTCTTCACAGGTCAGACGTCTGATGCTTACAGATCTTTCTGGGTTTTCTACAATACCCAAGGTAGGAGTGTGTGCAACAGAAAGGTCAAATTGCTAAGCCTCACTGCTGCTTTTTTTATTAGAGAACTGGAGACAAAAATACCTATATAAAGTCTTTCTTCTTTGTGAAGCAAAACCAGTGTTTGAGAGCAGGAGGCTGGGTGTGGGAACGTAAGTACGTTGCATCTGTGACTTTATAAAGTGATCTGGAGACATCTATTTTGCAACAATTGGGAAGAAACTGGGTGGGTGGTGTAGAAGTGGGGGAACTGTGAAGACCAAATGTTTAGCTGTATTCAACTGTAAACAGAGTGATAGTCAGTAAACAGTCTCTCTGAAGAGAGTAATTAATAGGCACATGTGAAGAGATGGAAAAGAAGATGTATCCTTCTTCAGCAGACATCAAAGAGCAGTCTGGACAGTGAGAAATTAAGCATACCCCAAGGAGGCCACACAGCTGAACGTACATTCAGCTAGGAAATGTAATGCTATATAATGAGCTAGGAAAAAGAGGAGTGAGGGGTAAGACAGGCAGTGGAAAAGGAGTCCTAAAGCAACAAAGGAAGGAGCAACTCACTCTGTGAGGAAGGGAGCTGGAGCAGAGAAGCAGGGAGGTCTAAGCAGGTCAGCTCTTTCTGCAGAGGGGTCAAGTTGCAGAGAAGTTTTGTGGGATTAGAAAGAGTGATAAGATAGCACAGTAGGTAGCCTCAAAATAAGATAAGGAAACAGAGGAGGAGCCACTGAAATGAATGGTTCTTCATTGTGATTCTCCTGCCTCTTGCTACATCTGAAAGCAGAACCCTGTGGCAGTTGGCCAGTTTGACAGGGAAGGCGATAAAAATAAATTACATCCTCTGTTTCCAATACAGACTGAGATGTTTCCAAAAGAATGGGGGAAGGGAACTTATTTGCAGGGAGGAAAGGTACTTACATGATCCAAAACTCATTGTCTGTTCTCTATAAAGTGGTGTCAGGGCCGAGTCCATAATGTACGTACTTGGCTCCAAATGGGGTTTTGGAGCATTCCACCTCTGGGACCAGCTGCTTTCGCGAATGTTCGGCTGGAAGAGAAATCCAAGTTCAAAATGAAGGAAATGCTCTTTTTTGCCTCTCAAAGAGCACACATGAAGCTGAGAGCAACAAATCAGAAAACCTGAGGCCAAGCAGTTTGAGATTCCCAGTGTCCTGGGTGGTCTTTGCTGTTAAATTCTATTAGTGTCATCTGTGGATAATGTTTTCCTTCAAAACCTGACTAAAGCTGAGACAAGATAGATTTTCCCAACCAAGTTGATTTACAGCTTAACATGAGTAGAATACGTGTGTGTTAGCAGTGTGGTTTTGGCCTACTGCTGCAAATCAGGTTTTGTGCACCCATTTCAAATAGTCTAAAGAAATAGTCAGGTCTTACTGGAGTTTCTTGGCACAAGTGGAGATGCATTTTTGCTGTAAAAGCAGCTTTAGCAAGGACAACTAATCTCTCTCATACACAGCACTAAAGGAGTGGTTTTGGAAGAAGTAAAAGAAACCTATGAGAAGGCTGGAACCCACAGTATCTAAGATGAAACATACTCTGTCCTCTTGCATGTGCTGTCCTCTGAGCTTTGATATGCGCTCTGTGTATCAGTGGAAACTGAGGATTGCCGTGCCCTCTCTAATAACTTTTGGCTGATGTATCAGGTGACACATGCAGGGAAAATGTGCCTTCTACCACGCAGGGACTGTAACTGTGGTTCACACAAGGCAGGGAAGTACTTTGCATCCAAGCACTCCCACCTATGCTTAGGACCAAGCAATTGCCCTGTTAGTTATCCACTGTCATTGTCCCACTGAGAAAGCAGTCCAAGTTCTTTGTTTAACCACATATTGTGGAATAAGTCATCAGCTCCCCATGAACTGGAAATCAAAAATAGATCTGTTCTTATGGATCCAGGACAAATATATTATTCATCTTACCTGGCTGATTTGTCCCATACCACTAGTGATTTTCCCAGAGAAAGATTCTACATGTGACTAATGGCATTTTTTGAGGGTTAGAAATTCCAAAGCTGTCTACTCAAGGGAAGAAATTTTGTGTTTCAGCAACTAAGAAACATTGGCTCTAGTTACTGCAAAGAATGGAATTGCAATTAGTCTTCTACGATCTTTATAGGCATGCCTGAAAAACAGAGATGTCAATATTGCAAGTCTGAGAGGTCAGTAAGGCACTGTCCTTTGCTGACAGGCAACAGACCATGCTTCAAAAATCCCACTTGCTGGGCTGGTGGAGATAACATTTAGTGTGAGGCAGAGCAGCTTCAGTTTTAGGGCAGGGGTGCTGCCTCTGTGGTTCTTTGGAATCCTCTTTGCCGGAAAACAACCCTGTATTATCCTCCAGAGATCAGCCAGGGCTGGTCTCCCATCTGTTCATGGATCTGCACCTGTTTTTCATTTCACCAATAGTGGCCACATGGCCTAAGACTCAGGGGGGAATACAGAGAAGAAAATGAATGTGTCTTTCAGGCACTGGGGTTGGATTCAGAAGTTCTGAGTTTAAATCCTGACTGTGAAGCACAACCTTGGTGAGTCCTTTCATTTCTGTCTGTCTTAACATCATCTGTAAAGAAGAGGAAGGAGTCACTATTATTCTGGGGCTTTGTCCTTACCTTTTTAAACAAGGAATTGGAGAAAAATTGTTTTTTCCTCTTTGCTTGTATTTCACCCAGCACAGAAGTCTTTACAGAAGTGGATCTCTATAAAACACATCACTGATGATTAGGAACACCAAACATGTCTCCCATCCATCTCCTTTGCACTCTGAAAAACAGAAGGGAAGTTCCTTAGAAAAGTTGTTGAATTTCTGCCTGTGTAGATGACAATACTGCTTGGACATAGCTCTGGTAGCACAGAACTGGTGTATGGGTATTTTGGGTGTTTATCTGCAATGACTGCATGTGAATCCACTGTAGTCACTCTTTGTTGATCTGATGCTGCATCACATTCTAGCTGCAGTCAGCTTCAGAGGCATACGGAGGCAGCTTATATATCAGTTCCCTGCCTCCCTCATGTCTTGCACTGGGCATGCCACAGATCTGGTATTGTACATTTTGTACTCCTTACACTTGTTTAGAAAACAGAGGCAAAGTTGTTGCCTGGCCTCTGCCTACTCATTTTATTTATTGCTTCATCAGCCACACTGTGTGTTTACACTCCAGTACAACAGTTTGGCTGCAGCTTGTGTTGACAGCCCGTAGATAGCCTGAGGCTAAATAAAGAGGGTAACTGCTGTCAGGTTCCATGTAAGTTCTCAGCTGGGCATGGCAATGCCATGCTAACTGGGGACATGCTGACCTTACCAAATGCTATCAGCTTCTGCAAGGGGCTCTTAAAGCGCTCGGTGTTGGAAATCCTTGCAAACTCACTCTTTGTGAATTTTCAACCCAGGCACTGCTTATAAAGAATCCTCTCACATTTTTCTTGTCCTAACTGGGGATTGAGTTGATTACAGCTGTTCTCAGAGTTGTTTTTCACCTTGAGTCTCACTCAACTTCTATTGAAAGCTGCTGGAGTTTGTCATTGACTTCAATGAAATTAGGATTAGGCCTTTATCAGAAAGTTTGCTGTTTGCTGCAAGTTTGATTTCCATGTGATATATCTGGAAGCTTTCAATTATCACGCTGCCTTTGAAATGGGAAATTGACAAACTGTTATCTCAGGAAGCTTGTTGGGTTCAGACTGGTTCCATCAGATCACAGGTAAATTTGTGCCAATCAGGGTTGCCATTGAGTTCTTTATGTTTGATCCTCAAATTAAAATTTACCTGTCTGATTGGTTTGCACTTGAAACTGTTACTCTTTGGTTTTGTCAGAAATTTGCAACAATGGAAAGGACAGGTATGTTGCATGATCCATGGATTAGGAGTTTTGTCCCAGCTTCAGAAACCCCCCAAGGAGTCTTGGGATAAAATGTTATGCTGAACACTACAAATTCACAGGTGCTGTGACCAGAAGATATAATTATGATCATTTATTTTGACCTTCTGCAAGCTACGAAGTACCTCCTGTGGTCTTTATAGAGGTCCATACCTCCCAATTTAACCAGTATGTAGTCATTAGAATTCTAGGTTGATTTAATTATCTCCAGTTATGGAAAGTTCACTGCAATCCAAGGTTACTTTTCCTCAGTTTTTAAAATTTGCTCCTCATCTCTTATCTGAACTTGTTTAACTTTTGTTTCATGTCACTGGATGTTGCTCTGCTTTCACCTGTGTCTATTGTTGGACTCTATACCTCTATAGTATCTCCATGTAGACCCTTACACACTGCAGTCAATCAACTTTTTCTTCTTAACCATCTTCATAGTCAGGTATGTATTTCAGAACTCTATTCATTTATAATTCTGGTATTTACATTTTCAGAATTTGGGTTATACCAATTTATCCAGCTTCTGGTGACCTGAATCACTGTGCTATTTTTAAATGCTGGTGTCACATTAAATATTTCCATTGAAACTCCTATGGTCCACACTCACTCTACAGTTTTGTAAGGCCCACTTAAAAAATCAGTTCTTTCACACTTTTCAAAACTCAATGGAAATACCCATTTTACCCAAGAAAGGCAAGACTAGACCTTAAACTAGCAGGCAATGCCAATATAAGGCTAATAATGAAGATGTTAATCTTGAACTACTGAGATTTTTCCTCTATTTCATGACTCACCTTTCTTTTATGGCGTATTTTTAAGTTCATTCCATTAGATCAGTTTTTTCATTGAATAGTATAAATGAATTTCCTAAAAGGCAAACTAATTCTGGACCCAGTGCTATCAAGTCATAGAGTAATTGAAGTGGGAAGGGACCTTTGGAGGTCATCTTGTGTAAATCCCCACTGAGAGCAAGGTAAAGCTTGAAGTTAGATCCGAGTGTGCTGCTAAATACAATCGTGACTTCAGGAAAAGGTTGAATGGTACCATGTTCACCTTTTAAAATTGACCATTCATAAGGACATGACTTATAAATGTCATGACACTTTACTGCAATAGGGATATTGCTACTATGTTGTGCTGGGCACCTTCACACTATGCATCCTTAAGATATTTTTGGAGCAAAATTCTATTAGTCAATCTATAATCAACATAAACTCTCATGGAAATATAAAAAATGACTTTGAAATTTACTGGCTCATCAATGGCCCAAGAACTAACCCTTTCGTTTAAGCATCTAGCGTGCAACAAGTCAATTTAAAAACTTTTCTTTATCTATACGCATTTGTATTTTCATTCTATTTTGTCAAAACGAGTATGAAGAATTAATTTTTCCCCCTTTTGAATGATTTTCCCATTTTTAAAATGCCTAGTAAAACTAGGCATTTGACAGAGATCTGTAAACTGATATCTGTAAAGTGATTATTTTTTTTTTTGTATATAAAATGCTGTTGTAACATTTGCTCTTCTGGTCTTATTCTTTATTTACTACAGTTTTTTGACATCTGTCCCTGTCTTTTTTCATCAAATATTTATCTGCAGCAGCTGAAAGAGCCTCATTTGTTTTAATTAAAAATAAGACCACCAAGCTGGGATCACTTCCTTAGCTCTTCCATGGCTTGCACAGACAGACAGTAGATCTTGTGAGGTTTTCCTGAGGGTGGCCCATTGACAGGCTTCCCCCCTCCCTATATCCTTTTCTTTTGCACCATGTTTATTTTTGGGTAGAGAAATGTAATCAGAGCCACATTCCGGACAAAGAAACTTTTTACAGTTAACACGCATGAGAAAGGAGGAAGATCATGTTGTGTTTCATTTGGTGTTTCATTGTAAGAAACTATATTCTAATTTGTGGCTTCTGGAATGGAATTATCATTGCCACAGAAACATAGGCATTGTCAGAGCAATAAGGCCTCTAGTTCAGCATGCTGATACTGACATAGGCAGCAAGCACTTAAGGAAAAATTATGGAAATTCAGCTGAGGAATATCCTACTGATTGAAAACATTTTTTGCGCTTTTCCTCACTAGCTAGTATCTGTCTCATGTCTTTTTTTTTTTTCCCTAGTGTTGACTTACAAAGAGGAAAAAATAAAGAACAAAGAAACAACCTAAAATAACTCCTTTGTGCAAAGTTAGTATTCTAAGGTCATGGTACAAGCTGATGCCTGTTGCTGCTAAAACTGTTCTAGAGGGTGTGTGGGACGTGTTACTTTCATTTTTACACGTCTTAGACAAGTACTTGTGGAGTGCACAAGTGTGTGGGACGTGTTACTTTCATTTTTACACGTCTTAGACAAGTACTTGTGGAGTGCACAGACAGACTACTCACGACTTCTAGTGATGGTGAGATGTCTTCTGATCTCGGGATCCCAATGAAGTAGCATAGCATCACTGACCTTTCTCAGCCATCTTGATTATCTTAGTTCTTGTTAATGAGAGAGACTTTTAAATTAGGCTTTTTCATTTATTTAAGATGGAGGAGACTAATAAGTAAATCCTGGTTTTTTTCATACCCCTTTTTCACCTCATTCTTCATCTTACATGAAAAGTAAAAATTAAAAGAAGCCATCCCCATGAATCACCAAAGTAAAACTGTTATATCTTCACTTGGCAAAAATTACCTTTGAAGATGATCCTACTTCAATCTCCCTGGGCACCGGAGAGTCATCCACTGCTTAGACATGTAGTTCTTACAGTTGTCTGTTAGATACAAAACATTGATTAGCTTTTGTAGGTGTAAGTTTCAGACTTTCTAAATTCTGAGAAAACCTATCAGACTCAAAGCCTGACAGTATCTTGTACACCTCTTAGTTTATTTTGTAGGTGAAGTAGAAAGAAAGGTTGAGGTGATCTCACATATAAAAAATTACATCATTACAACATCTACATAAGAAAATGGGTTCAGGTGAGTAAAGAACACTTTCTTCTCCTCAAAATACACATATGCAACAGGCACACAGTATATAGCCCATTTCAGAACTTTTATATAAAATTTGTTGACTTGCCAAGAAGTCAAAGGAGACTTTATCTCAGCATCTTTTCCAATTCACAGTATTATCTCCTATTATGTCTCCAGGACACAATGTAGTGGCTGCATAATGTCCTCATGTAGATTGGTTCTGTATATGAGACATATGGATAAAACTGACACAGTAATTCAAGGGCAATGTTTCCACATGTAGATGCATATATTAAGAGCAAAAATTTAAATGACAAGTTGACCCCTAAGTTGTCCTACACTGACACTTACTATTTAAATAACTTTTACAGACATTAATTCACTATATTATAGTTACAATATTGTACTGTAACTTTCTAAGATCTTGATATTGGCATAAAGGAAAAGAATCAATGATGTAACTTGGAATCAGAATTTAATCCTTTCCTTGCAAGATACTGAGACAGGAGACAGCACCACTGCTTAATCAATTGAACAATAGAAGGGCATTCAGGAACCTAGATTTTCTTTCCAGCTCTGCCACAGGATTGAGGGTGACCTTCATCAAATTATGTTTCTACTCTGTAAAATGTAACTGGAAATTCTCTCTTTAAAAGCATTTTAAATGAGAAAGTACTGTAAAGTATCCTAGATTTGATGCTGATTGCTTACAACGGTAAGTGAAATCAGAGTTAAACTAATTTAAGGGAGACTATTAACTAGAAAGATTATGAGCTTGTCAAAAAGATATTAATTAAAGTCTGGGGACTGCTTGCCAGTGTCATTCTAAATTAATTGCTAATGGGTTACTCTTAAAAGTGGAGCGCAGCTGCAAGAACATCAGGCTCAAAGGAAACTTGATTTTGTTTATCATTCGTTTTTACTTTGTTTAGCAAAGGATTTCTAAATACCAAAGAAACCTGAAACTGTTTCTGGCAAGGATATTTTTGATTACAAAAATCTTTCTATAATCTAAATGGCAGGATTCATACACTTACTGTAGCCTTCTACACTTTTCTCTCTTTCTGTAAATCTCTGAGAAAAGAAAAACCTTTAGAACCATATCTTCTATATCTTTTAAGAGGCAAAGAAGCCAAAAAAGCCAACTGGCTTTTTTAGAGCCAGTGGCACACAAAATGGTTTGACATAAAGTTAGCAGTGGTTCTCCTGACCCCCAAATCATGTGTTGTTGGTATCATGCTCTTTGGGTATAATATTACCTGTGGGAGCAACTGAAACAGGCCAGAGATTTGTCGTGATCTCAAGGCCTCCAGTTTATAGCTATACTTAAGGGCAACAAACAACTTTCTGTGTGCCATGTGTGAAGACTCTGCACTTACTGCTGAATCTGCTATTGCACTGAGAAAAAAAGAGGAGAGCCTGTAGTCCACCACATTCTTTGGGACTCAGAAGTACTGTTCAACCAAAGCAGAATGCTGGACAACAGAATATGCCTGTAAATGTAAGAATTCCATAAAAACTGTATCTGTGCTTACTGGTTATAATGTGATTAAGTAATAAACATACACTGCAAGGTGAATGCCATGCAATGTCTGGTCGGTATCAGGGTTCTTTTGGTAACATATGGGTAAGGAAGCTTAGTGATTCACAGCCCACGCTCAGAGTGACTACAACACCCGTGGCTATGTGAATGTTGGCAATTGATTCCCATGGAGAAAAATTAATAAGTTCCTTAAAATGAAAAAATGTTTTAGAAAATGAGGGAAGTCAGAGAAAACATAGTTAGTATCTTATTGTCCTAGAATGAAAATATTTTTGAACAATTACTACAGCAATTTATACAAACTGTGACTTTTATAGATACATTGTAACTCTGGTTCATGAGGAGCCTTACTTTACTAGATGCTCCAAATTAAGATTTCCAGGCATCCCATCTAATCTTCTAATCCAATAATCCTAAAATCCAGCAATTAAAGAATGTTTTGACAAAGCAACCTGAGGCTCATTCCTCTAATTATGCTGCACAGTTTAAGCTCACTGACTTCAAATGCATAGGTGTACCCATGTAAAATATGCATGCAGTGCATCTGAATTTACTAGATTAATAGACACTTCTGTAGTACGCAGCCTATTAACAGCTTCGTCCAAACTGAAACTAAATCAAGACATCTTATTGCCAAAGAGGAAAAATGATGGGGAAACGTTCACTTAAGCAATCCTGTTTCCTTGCTGAGAATGAATGCAGTTATAGCTCTAACACTAAGTCATATTCAAGACGAACAATATTTAAAAAAAAATAGAATTTAATAAGCAGTCTCTAGAAATCCCTGTCAGTCTGTCATGTGGGTTGGATTTCTCTTTAAGCGCTACCATTTTGCTGGTGTTTTCTACCGGAAGGTACAGAGTCTGATGATTCAGAATGAGAGACATTAAATGTTGTTCATGTACTGAAGCCATGGAGAGACTGGAAGCTTCAATGATGCAGGGAATTTATATTATGTGTTGCCTAATTTAAGATAATAACAAAAATACTTCTATATATTCTTCCTGTGGTAGAATTATGCTTTATCAAGCATAATTAACACTCTTTCCTGCTCCATTCCTAGACATTAAATCATTCCTTCCTTTGTTGAGCTGGTTTTCTGAGATGTATGAAAATGAACAGACATCTGACTAATCTGCAGAAAATTTCTCCATCATAAAGGACCTGGGAAACTTCTCCTGAGGCAGCAGTTCAACAACTTGCCATTTGCAATCTTGCCACTGTATGCAAGATGTCTGCATTGCTGGGCGCAATCTATACAGCACAACTTCCCATGCTGGACTCACTTTCCAGAAAGAGGTCCCAGAGACTAAGATCCACACAGAGTTTTTCCTTTGTGCTCCACTTCATGTTCTGATCATCAACCTGCTTTGCTTGTCTAACTGTAATGATTCTGCAGAAGGATCCTTCGGGCTGCAAAAGGGAACAAACTGAAGAATGAATTAGGAACTTGACTAGTAAACTCTGAAATGGCTGGCAGCTGGTACTGGTGGGTGGCACTCCAGGCACCACACAAATAAAGAACAGAATGAGGAAAAGGTGGGGTGAGAGGCATCTTACTGGGCCTCAAATGGTACTCACCATACTGTCTTTCCCTCAGCTGAAGCTTGATGAGGATGGAGACTGGTGAATGTCTGGCTTTGGAGTATGGCAAAAAGGTACACAGCAGGCCTGGGGGAAGCAAAATCACTGCTGAACTTCTGGTGGGGAATGCAAAATTTGATGATGTGAGAGAAATTTGGAGTGTATAGTATTTGCCCCAGAAGCTGAAACTAAATGATACGTTGAACCTATTGTATCAGAAGCCCTATAATAGAATTAAGAATCATTTAGGTTGGAAAAGACCCTTAGGATAATTGGGTCCAACTGAGCTCTCTTTTCAGAATTCTAAATTGGACTCAGGTTAAATATGAGGCCTGCACTATCACAGTCTGATACAGTATGTGTCTCCACTAAAGTACTAGTTTGCTAAGGAAACAAATTACAATATTATTTTGTGAGTTCTGTTGACCTTCAACTTGGTAAGAGGATAAAATGTTAAAAAGCACAGAAAGAGACAAGAGTGTTTTTTACAAGTGGTACTTTTGTAATAGCAAGACTATGTCTATGTGACAGGAGGGCTTGGCTTGTTTGTTGTTTGTTTTGGGGATTTAGGCGGTAACGAACAAAGCAATTACAAGAGACAAAGATATGCAGCTTTTTCGTTTTCCCAACAATCTAGGGGAATTGAATCCATTGGCTGCCTGGAGTTCATTCCTGTAATCCCTTCATTAACCCTTTCATTCAATGAGCCCTCAATTTTCCACTAGATGCAAACTGCAGTTCGTGCCCACATTTGTCTCTCATTTTTAGGTTAGGCAGGAATCCTTCTCTGTAGTGTTTGGTTCCTTTTACATGCAACAGTTTATTATCAGACTATGTCTAGCTTTTCCAGCGTTGACAGCATTATTATTAAAAATACAGAGTATAGTGATATTATGCAAGTGACCACACTGAATCTTTTCACTTTTCCTAATGGCCTCCCATAACTTCACTGACTTATAATTTTTGTGTTGATATTTTATAGACACCTTTCATATTCCCTTAACCAGAAGCTAAGGAGTTAATTGTTTTTTATCATATATGTATTGTACTGGCTGAGATGAAAGCCATGGCTCAGCAAGGTCTTGGCTAAACATGCTTATTAGCATCAAATACACCTCATTCTAAAAAGGTGTTGCTATGCACCTGCTATTTTAATTCATATTAGGTTATTAAAAGAAAAACAAAGTGTCAGACTAGAAACAAAGCAGTGCTATGATCTGCTAGAAGACATCAAAAGCAGACAGATTATGAAGTCTGATATGGCTACCAGGGTAATGTCTAAATTTAGGCTACTCTTTCTGTGTAAAAATTTTAGGTAATATCCTCAGCAAAGGTAACTGGCACTGAAGCCAACAACACTGTTTGTTTATATCAGCTAGATCTGGATCTCTTTCATCTTGCATAAAACATGAATTACTAGCTTTTATGCAGTTGTCCTGCCCGCTGTGATTCCCTGAAGAAGAGGTGTGGAGGAAATAATTTTTGCAAGGAAAATCTGAAAAGGCAACCCCTCCCAGCACAGGTGCTCTTAACTTCTCACATATTCACTCCTTTCACTTAGAACAAAACCTGTTGTTTCTCTCCTGCTTCTAGTCCTGGCCAGCCAGAACTAGGGAAGCAAATGACGGTGCTGCAGTAGCTACTGAAACAATTTGCTGGGATTGAATCCCGTTATCCAAGGCACTGAAATGGATCCTTTCTGCCCAAATTTCCCCAATGAGAACTTGGTAGAAGTTGCTACGTTTTGAACCTTCTCTCTGCCAACAGGAGAATCGTGCATTTTGTTAATTATAGAGCTGGGGATACAGTTAGCCAACTGGCCACTTTACACACTGATCAGGAGTTATTCCAGGAAGTACAGAGTGCCTGTTAGAATCGTATCTTGCAACGCTGCTGACATCCTGCTCTGTGTCCCAGAATATGAGATAGCATTTTGTATTACTTCAGCTAGGAGAGATGAAAAAGAAAACATAGACATGGACCAATCTGTTTCTCAGAAATCAGGTGACCTGAAACTGCTCTAACAACTCTAAACTCTGGCAAAAAAGCCTTCATTAATTTTCATAATTTGAACAGCACACAAATAGAGAATTTTAAAGGTTTAAGGTGAGCAAAGAAGATATTTCAAAAGTACAGAAGTATCAACCAAGCCTTGGGATCCAACAGATGCTTAATTGCAATGAAAAAGGGAATGAAATATAAATGTCAAAGTACATACACAAGAATACTCCAGGAGTATCTGTAACTACTTAGTGAAGGAACTGAATAGATCAGATCTTTCCAAAGTCTAGAAATGTTTTAGTACACAGATGGTCTAGAATTCAGTGGAAACAAAAGTATCACATCATAAGTCAGTTGTTTAACGTACTCTGTGTTTATATAAACTATGGGTAGACATAGCATTACTGTAATATTGTGGTTGAGAAATCAGGCACTCAGGGGTCAGAAAATGCAGCACAGGTCAAACCACAATCATAATTCTCCCCTCTTCTTGCTTATGCATGAAAATATAAGACTGGATGTTCTACTGACTTATGTTAGCAGGCCTGAGTGCACCAACAGGGTTTAATGGCCCTGACCAGTCTCACCTGGGACCTCCACCCACACCCTTGCCCATGGGTCCAGGGGCTTCATTTAAGCTCAGCCCCAGGCCTTCAGTCCCAGTCTAAGCTAAGTTTTAGGTGTGCCTCTGCTTGACCATGTACCTAACTCATCAGATCATGAGCTGGGCTGACTTCCTAGCTTCATCTCAGCTCTGCCTGTTGCTATAGTCCTGCCTGGTGATTCCTGGGCTGACCCTGACCTGCAGACTGTTGGCCTTGGTACTTGACCTGCTTTGCCACTGCAAATTTGCCAGGTATTTGGACTTCTGTTTAACCCCTGCTGCCTTCCCTGGGCCTTCCCTGCTCTCTTGCTCTGGTATTGTGGGTTAAGGCCCTGGCTGCTGAGGTCTCTGTTGTGCTGGCTGTAGTATCGTGCTTGCTGCCTTTGGCAGGAGCCAGCCCCAGCAGTACTCTGACAGTTTATACTTTATGTTACCATTTATATTTCTAAAGAGTGAGAGTGTGACTCCTTTATAAAGTCCTACCCTCCCTGTTGAGACTTGGAGGCTAAGCCTGCATTCAGATTTTGCAGTTATAGATCATTGGCTAAAAGATGAAAATCGATTACTAAAATCTTACAACTACTATAACAGTATACTGTAATGAATTGTACCTTAAAACAAATGTCTTTAGGTAAAAAGTAACTTTCTCAAAACCTTGAAGAGTATTTGAGTGACATCTTGTATGAGACTTCACAAAACATTTTTATTGGCATCCTAAGATTTGACTATCTCTTTTTTTTAAATTTGTTACAAAAAATTTCTAGACTTCAGTTATAAAAACTGAGATTTCTTTTAGCAAAAAGAAAATTAATTATTTGGAGGTTGTATATAAACTTGTATCAGAAGCATAAGAATGTTCTACCTCTGCTATTAGTTTTTCTAAGACCAGCAGTTCCACAGAAAAGGCTGAAGCATTTTCAAACGGATGAAGCATTGCATGCTTCTAGTCTTAAGCATTTTTAATAACAGGAGGTAAAAAATTCTGGCATCTTAGAATTTAGTCACTCCTGTTGACTTTGGGGGGACCAACACCTTGCCCAATAGCTAAAACAGACCGTTCTGCCAAATGAAATAGTTCCAGAGGCAACAAAAAACAGTCAAGAGATGTCTCCTGGCAAGAATTACAATGCACAAGAGAAACCTAACTGACAAAAGAGATACTGCTCAAAGGCATTTTCATGGACAAAATATGTGCTTGCTGTGCACAGCCAAGGAAACTTCAAGTATTTAAGAGTGGTGGGGGGGTGGAAATCTTAACCTGTTGTATGTTAGTGAGGCATGGCTAGAAAGCAACCATCAGTGGCTTTGTCATTCTCTGTGTGAAAGCTCAGTGCAGTACCTAAGCAGTCTCTAGTCTGTTAAAGTTCACTTGCCAGTTTCAAGATGAAATTGCAAAGACTTTTTCAGAGTTGGAAAAATCTGAAGTTAGAAGAGACTGGGGCAGGGGGGGAAGACATCAGAGGGGAAAAAATTGGTCCTTTGAAGTTTTATATGTAAGGAAAGACCTGGATTTGTGCCTTTAAAGCAAACCTTCCTGACACTACAAATCTGAAAAAACTCTCTGTGGCCAAAAGCCACATTGCATATACTTATCTTTGAGAGGAAGGGGGAGGGAGATCAGTTCACAAGCAGGAAATGGCTTCCAGGTGTCTCCCTACTCCAGTGCACAACCCGATCACTACAATCCAGTGATGCCAGGCTTAGTAGTCCCAGCTGCCTTGCTTCTTCCCAGGGATTTGGACTAATCATGCATTATCACAGCCCTTCTGGTAACGCTGGCTCTGGAGGTGTGCTTGAACTGCTCACAGGCTGTGGGTGATTAAAAGAAGTTACAGGTAGGCTTTCTCAATTAAGTATGAGCATGTGGAAATAAGCGAGGTACATAAACAAATGCCTACATCTGCATATGCACTCATGCCCATGTGCATAAAAGTTCAAATCATATCTGTTTCTGGAGCTGGACAACAAAATCAACTGCTCTGTTTCTTGGTGTGTTGTAGAAGGAAGTAACTGAATGCATGTGGCACCCTTTTTCCATCCCAACACTGTACAACTTGTTAAGAGGCAGAAAAAGACCTGTCCCATTTATTCTACCTCAATGATGTCTTTTTTTTTTTTTTTTTCCCCTCCTTCTGACTGCAGAAATCCTTCCTTGTTGGGTATTATGGTTTCATTGTGCAAATGTGGTAGCAAGAGCTTTCCGAAGCCTTGTTACAGCTAGTTAGTTAACCATATAACAAAAAAGTAATTAGCTTAGATACCTAGCACAGAAAGGAAAGTTAGTTTTAAGGAGTACTGTTTAAACTCTTCCTCATACAAAAGTTTGAACTCGCAGCAGAGAGAAAAGTGCTGCTATCCATTCTACTACATTATTTACATCAGTATGGGACTATGTCATGATGCAGTAGAAGAGTATCCTCTCATTGGCAATGAAGTTGCATTCTATGTTGGCTAACGTTACTGTTTTCTGGTTAACCAGAATCAATTTAATATTCAGCAGGGAATGTGACATCTTGGGGGGTGGGGTAAATAATAAAGAAAACCAAAATTAATTTTATTTTGATTGACTATATGGTGCCACAAAATACCGAGCATTTACTTGGCTGCAGAAGCAATGAGTATTTCCATTCTCAATGCTGATGAAAGCTTTTCTATTGCTGTCCCAAGAGGCATTGTTTTCACTGTGTTCTCTGGAGGACCATTTCGAACAAAACTCATAAGGTCTCATTCAAGTATAAAACTTGTACTGACTGTTTTCTTTTTAAAGCTGAATGAAAGTACAGCAGTTCCTTAGCCTGGAAAAAGCTGTACAGTTTTCTGATAGTTTTCTCAAGATAAAGTAGCAGCTTCCCTGTGCAAAAGGATGAACAGATCAGTGAGTAGTTTACATGTAAATATGTAAAAACATGTAAATATGTAAACATGTAAATATGTAAAAAAAAAAAAAGTCTATCTTAGGAAAAAGCAGTCTGAACTGCAGGAATTAGCACCATTATTTTCATGTCAATGCAAAAGGTGTGACTGATTGCATGACACCAACAAGTACCACCAATGCTCAGACTATGTCTATAAGTTGTGGAATGGTGAATGTTACAAGCCTGTACTGTGAAATTTAAAAACAATTGCTTTAATGTGGCATATTAGATCACGTAATATTAGACACATAACGAGTCAAGCAACCACCTTCTCTTCTGTGATTATTTTTTGTGACAGTAACAAACACCCTGGTGATACAATGCTCCTATGTGATGGTATGCTGAGTACACCAGCACTCTATACTCAGTCGATGATTTTATGAAGCCTATTCCACAATGGAATAGGGTCATGCCTCTGTTTTAATTGTTCCAGTAAAATTTTTAATATTGTGACTTTTAATATTTATTTCTCAGTGTGTGAGAAACCCTGAAAAGCTTGAAGCTGTAGTCCACCAATTCTATTGTCAAAACAGGAAAACTGTATGACTCCATGTAGCCAAAGTTTTATTAACTGCTTTTTGCCTAACTACTTAGCTTCTTCCCAGATCTGACTGTTTCAAAATTAAGCATACTACTGCTGTGCCATATGTTCAGATGCGCCAAGGGAGAAGGGAGTTGTTTTTCAATTGGTTTCAATTGGCTCACTGTCTTTTAATGAGGCAGGGGACTTGTGACCTCAGTGCATTGTGGCTGATAAATGATAGGATGTACCCACACATACTCACAGAAAACCTGCAAACATAAATGAGTTGTGGGTAATCTCTAGCCTCTACTAGGGAAAGGCAATCTTGTGGGCAAACACTTAAGCAGAAAGCTAATGCTTAATAGTATGTGATTTTAAACTGCCAGTGCACAAGCCTGTCAACGTTTATTTCCAGGTTCTCTGATCCTCTTTATTAGTTTCCCGTCTTGCTTTCATCTTGCCCAAATCACAGAAAGGTTTGATTTTCTTTTGCGAACAATTTTTTTTTTTGTCAAGTCTGTTTGCATTTCTCAAGGATCTGAACAGGTTAAAAATGTTTGTGCTGCTGAAGGTAATGTATACTCTTAAACAAAAGTTATGTAACTTATACAGAATAATATCACATGCTAGACTATTATGCTAGGATCTGATCAGATAAGTAAGCTTTGCCTTCATTAAAGGCTTTAATCTTGATTATACTTGGGGCAGCCTCTAAACAACTCTGGAGTTTTCCTCTAAAGGATCTTTTATGCTCTGGCCCAGAATTTCTCAAATAACTAACGCTATTTTTTGAGAAATCAAAAGCAAAATTTTTTGCCTCTCTTTTTAAAAGAAAGCTGGTGATGACAGAAAAACTTCCCCTTGGCTCTCAACTGGGAGTTATAAATACCCAAAAGCTAAATCCTTGTCTGGCTTGTTTGGTTTTTTTTTATTTTATTTTATTTCTCCGAGATCTCTTTTTCTGGAGTGGTGTTTGAGCCTTAGATCTCTTGCTTGCCTTACTACAGAACTGATGAAAGTCTGAGATCTCAATCAAAGGCTTAACAAAACAATAATCCTCTATTGCCCTAATTCTTCTCAGAAACATCTCTCTCTGACAAGAACAGTCCTTAAGCTTTTACATCTTTTTCTGCTTAAAATTACTTTCCTAATTAGAAGGAATTGTTTCCTTCTCAAGTCTTTGTGCCTGAAGAACACTGTATTTATGGGAAAGCATCTCTCAGGCTCTTTAGCTCCCTGCCCTCAAATACTGTGACAGTGATAACACTCTACATCCCTCAAAAATTCCAACTTCCTTTATAAACAGACAGAGGAATTCGGTAACATGCTTCACAATCAGCTCAATTCCATTTGAAGCAAATATCAGAAATAGCAGGAATAATCACACAGTTTCCATGCTTAATGTAATCACTAACTCTCAAGCACAGCATTACAATTTAAAATTAATTCTCTTTCCCAGATATATTTACTTTATATATACGTATGAAACTTTATATAGTTCCATACTAATTCTGACCAATTTTTTTAGACACCATATTTAACAGGAATTAGAATCAGATTGTGTGAATGCAGTACAGGTAGAATTAGTTGAGTAGAATTAGACATTGAGTAGGTTGTGTAAACCAGATTTCCATACCAAAACATTTGTTTAAAATCTTTTCAACTCAGTAGCTGCTCATCCTTATAGGTGATAAAGGCCCTATTTAAGGTACTTATGCAGGTATAGTATCAGTAGCTTCAAGTATCTGAGTAATCCTGCCCACCTAAGTTGGACACGAGCTCAGATGCCATCCTGACTAGGCTTCAGTCATACTAAATTTACCTGCTAGCAAATTTTAGTATGCTAACAGCTGACGTGGATTACGCTCATGGAAGAAGTTCCTGACAAGCTGCAACAGGATTTGGGAAGGTCACAAAGAATCTATTAAAGCAGATGAATTTGAGTCCAGCTGAATACAAAATAATTCATAATGAATGAGATGACTCCCAACTCGTGTGGTTTGGAAGAGCACTGGAATGAAATTTGTTAGTGCTTTTTCAAGCAAGCACGCAATGTAAAGATATGATGATGGCAATGACTTGTGTGACTAAGTGGTGGTTACACCACCTAGCCACTAGGCATGATTGCATCTGATTTGACACTCTTTATTTAGAAGTGAACAGAAATAGCTGTTCAAACAGCTGAATGTCTCCTCCTATGCCAGTGAATACGATTGTTAAAATCTGAGAGGAGTGGTTGAAGCTGGAGTAATGATATCTCTTGAACTTACCAGTAACCCAGCTTAGAGAGGCCACCGTTGACTCATGACAAAGTCTTAAATTCATCTCTCCTGGACATGGAAGTCTGGGAACACCATTTTTCCTCATTCAAATTCACATCTCAGTAAGGATGCTGCAATCACAGAAAAAGTCCAGAAATTGAGAGTGATTAAAAACAATTTGGAGACATTTTTGTATGACGGAGTTGTGAAGACTCGTGCTACTGAGCTGAGATGGTAAGTGTCTAAGATCATGAGGTTACGTAAAGTGATGATTATCACTACAAATGTTCATAGTGCTGTCCTACTGAATAAGAAGACAGCATAGAATAAAAAAGACCACATGATATAATAGTTCACAAAATATCTTTCCCTCATCTAGGTAACTAAATGTATCTGGATATTAATTAATCTAATGAGATTAAAAATATGACTTAATAATTAAATGAATCACAATATCTTTTTTATTATATTCACTAGGCCTAATACTTTTCTGGGGGGAAAAGTTACTTGATTATTAGTTGGGAATAGCAAGAAAGTTTCTGCATACTTTGGAGATACATTATATTTTTAATTTAAAGACAGACAAATATTCTGGGAAATAATTGTTTTATTCTGAGTGTACTCTCCTACATATAACAGTGAATTACTCTTAAGATTGCCTCTGAAAACCCTTGAATGCATGGATTTATACCCTAGAATTCAGTTTTTTGGTTTTTTTATGGCACATTCTACTTAAAACCTTCTTAGGTGTAAGAGCTTAGAACAGGTTGGTTTTGTTTGCATTGCTATCGGTCACAGGTCTATGAGGGAGCTATATTTCTGACTAAAGTCTGATATGTATTATTTATGATGAACACATGTGTCTATGCTCTAACAAGGTGTTCTAAATGAAGGGTCACCCTGGTAGCTTGTATAGTTTCACAGGTATGCATTTGGAATATAAGAGAAAGTAGAGGAACGATTTGCCTCTTACAGTGTGAGGCTGCTAGGGGCCAGAAGCTAGCAGACTGAGAAAAGAAACTTGTGCATCTGGACAGGCAATAGGCTCAGAACAGAGAAGTGCTGAACTGACTCAAAAACTAACCAAAATCTGTGAAACTGTTCTGATATTTTGAAGAGCCAATGCAGACTGGCAGAAATGACAGAGCAGAGAGGCCATGCTGAAAACTCCAAGTGCAAACTGACTGCATCAGCAGCAGTCATGGCAATGGGAAAACTCTCTGAATTGACAACAAATAAGCCGATCGGGCAACATAAACTCAGCTGCTTCGCAGGTCCACATACAAACTTGGAGGAAGCTGCAATGCGCAGCAGAGCCAGCTGGCTGTTCCTGAGGTTGGGCTGACTGCCAGGCAGCTGTGACAGGGGGAGCCAGACTCAGTAGCCACCCCTTGATGACCTGGGCTACCCTGGGATTGACTGATACTCTTTATTGGGAAGGGAGAAGTTGAATGCACTTTGTGCAAATAGCCATAGATTTTGTTAATCATTATTTAAAGGTATCTATACAGTCAGTGTCCCACAATCTGTTGTTTGTATTCCAAAATAATCAAGAGCAGAAGAACCTCTCAGTAACAGCACAAGAAAAGGTTTAATTCATTTTCCCCCCAGAGGGAAACTGGAAATGAAACTCTAAGCAAGAGCTTTGAGACATGGTTATCTTGCCAAAAAGAACTGTAGATATTGAGGCTGATCCTCTTTGTTGCCAATCTAGAAATTTAGGTTTTAAGCCTCTGCTGTGATTCTTTAAAATTATTTTTTATTTTCTAATGTGATTGATTGTTTATTTTCTAAACATTTAATGCTTCCATTAACTCTCTAGCTTCACATATGGAAAAGTGCATGTCTGAATCTGGCTGGTCATACTTTAAGGATATATTTCAAAGACAGGCTAACATTCTGATCACAAAAGGCGGCTGTCAGAGTCACTGCACAAGCAAAGGTCAGCACATTTGCAAAATGAGATATTTGTCTTTCTTCAAAGATTAGGGGTATCTCTTCAGTGAAGTGTTAGAAGACACATAAGTGCAAACACTGCCAGCTGCCCCTGCTATTGCAACAAAACTAAACAAATATTTTCATTGTATTCTGAAAAAGAAACATCACTGACACCCCACCACCACCACTCTCATGTTTTATGATGGGGTGTTAAAAAACATGCAAGTCCAAAAATATTTTTTAGAACAGAATGCCATCTCTCCTCACATTCCTGGATTTCAGAAAGGAAAAGATGAGTGTTTCCATATATTGTTTTTTCACTCTAGTGAAAAGAATGAAAATAATTTTCAGTTTCCAGAGTGTCTGCACCTGGGGCCTAAATGAAGGGAAGTAGGTAAATAGTTCCAAGTAATTAATGTAATGGCTCAGAGGGGCCACAGAAGGAAAGGGGAGTTTCTCCAGTTTAAATGTTTGCATTCATGCTTTGCCTAAAGCAAAACAAGCTATCTGTCTTCTGGTTTGCATTTTCCCAATGAAAGCTTCCATTTGTCTTATTGTCATTCCAACATGTGCATCATTTACAGCTTTCACTGCTTCAAATATGCAAGTACTGTACAATGCAAGATTTTTTTTTTTTCTGAGCTTTTAAGATTTTCTAGAGTTGCAGAATGTGTTTTAAAAAGTTAACTAGTAAAGGCTGATTCAATTTATAAAGTGTTGGATAATACTTCTAAGTGGCTGCAGGTTAGCAGCTTTGGTACTGTGATGTTTTGCTACATAGTGGAATCTTCAACCTAGAATGAAGTGCAACGCCTCTTTCCACGCTTTGGGGAAAGAGGGTCCACCACAGAAATGACCAAAGTTGATAGTTTGCACCCAGATTGGTCATTATTAGACTGAAGAAAGAGTGATAAGTCTTGAGTTCCATCTGTTTCTGACATCCTGGTCATTTAATGTGAGCTGTAGAGATGTAAAATCTCCAAAATACATTTCTGAACCCTTTCTTAGAGTTAGAAATTTATGCGAACCTTTTTTTTTTATAAAATAGGGAATGAAAAGTATTATCTGTTTTATCTAGTAGGTCAGTGAATAGAGAATTAGTGATCAGAGGAAGTCTGTGTCTCTTGAGTCTTGACTCTTACCGGGGTTACTAGATTTGCATTTCTAACTTCCCATTTTAAGAACCTCAGTATATGGGATGTTTAGGTGAAACACTTCTAGTTTCTCCTATGGAAGTGAAAACACTGCCCACCAGAAATACTGTGATAGAAAGCGAACTAAGTATGACTATTTATCTTAAGAGTTAATGTACTTACTGAGGTTGGGGGGAGGCCTAGGTTTGTTCAAAATACTACTTCATACTAAATCTTGAGGAGACAAACTCTTTGTCTTCGGCTTGTCATTGTATTCCTGTTACATGACTTGCATCAGAAGTATTTTCCACCATCAGACCTTGGGCAGTGTCATTTCTTCTATTGAAGAGACTTGCCTGATGCGTGGGGATAGTTAATTTTGTCAGTTTTCACAAAGACAGAATTTCATTTGACTAGTCACACGGCAAGCCTGCAGTCACAGTCCTAGATATCATACAAAGGGGACTTCATGTTACAGTGGACAAACATGTTAAGGGACATGCCATAACCTGCAAGGTGATAGAGTGATGAATTTCATGTGGAAACTGGAAACTGGAGACTGGAACAGGCCAAGTTCATCTCATTAGAAGCCAGCAAACGTCTGTTAAGCTTGGCCTATGCTTAAAAGGCTTCCTAATGTAGTGATCTTGGCAAAGTCTCCCTAGAATAGGTGCTGCTGAAGTTAGCCAAAAAAGCTCAGAGGGGCTTCCCCAGACACAACAAGCTGCACTGACTTCTGTGCTCTAAACTGGGCCTACAGTATAGCTGTTACAAAAGTGAAAAGTGTGGTAAAGAGTCACAGTCTTTGTGACATTCTAATATATAATAAATATCTTCTGTATACCTGGTCTGAAATAGAGTTAATTTTATACGATGTCTGGATCTCAAATGAGTGACTGCTGGTGAAAGTCTTACTCTCTGAGTAACCTTCTCAGGATAAGTATACAAGTTCAGTATAAGAAGCAGAGTAACCATTGTTAGGAAAAGTTTAGATCTCCTCCTAGCCTAACATCCTATTCAAGAGAAAGTGTAGTTTTGCTGTTGTAAGTGTATGCTACAGTATAGGCTTTTTTTTTTTTGACACAGTCGTGTTGGTCAAAGATCACATTTCATCACATCCAGGACTGACAGAATGGTGTTGGCAGAAGCCAGTAGCCTAGTTGTGGTCTCACAGGAAAGGTCTTGACCTCAGAAGTATTAACTCTTCACACTGCTCTAAAATGGGCTTATTGCAGTTCTGATTATTAAAATAAAATCCTTCTCTTTCTGAGGTATAGAGACCCTACCCTCTCTGGAATGAGGTAACATTTCTCAAGTATATAGAATTAACTTAATCGCTTCTTAGATGTACTGAGGGAAACATAATTTTATATTAAAAATATATACATTGTATGGTTGAGGGGAAAATGTAGAATGACAAAGTTTGATTTAGTCTAATGTACCTAGGATATTTCTCCCTATTAATTCAGTTAGAGAAGTATTTAAAAAAAAAACCAACAGATAGCTTGGGAGTATGTCAGAGCAATCAACCAAACTACAGACAAGCCAAAGCAAAGTAAAAGTTAAATCCTTCCTAACAGAATTCCAGATAGTACAATGTGGGAGCATCAACTTCATGTAACTGAAGAATTTTTGTGAATATTCAAATGACTTTTTTAGAACAATAACCTCTTATCCAACTCTGAATGGCCTTGCAACTAAAAATATGCTCTATTCGGTATTTCTTTCAACTTGTTTTAGACAGGATCAGTAGTTTTCTCAGAAGATACTATCGCTGTTTGGCAGAAATGTGCTTGCAAAAATAAACTGGATCCAGAAAAGTTGCCAGTGATGTATTTGGATAGAAATGTGGACAGTGATTCTTGCCCATATCCAAAATAAAACACACTAGCTGTACAACAACTTTCTTTGCTAAATATAAACATCCTAACATTGATAAGCTTTACAGAAAGAAAAAGAGATAGCGATGTATTGCTACCCTCACCAGTATTTTAAGAGCACCCTCTACAGTCACAAAACACTATCTAACCAGGAAAAGCTCTTCCACCTACAGAAAACAG